GGTCTCTGTTAAATACTCCACACCTCTGTGCTGAAATACTACCTGGTCCCAGATTTGCTGTGTGGTCATTTGACTGAAAAACACACCAGAAACAAAGGAACTATAACTACATTTTCACACATCAGCATTGAGGACTTCTCTCTCTTTTCTCCCCTTTAGACTGAAATATAAGTCTAAAGATTCACTGCCAGCAGCCTGATTTTTTTGGTCTTTTATTTTGAAGGACAAACCGTGTACTTCCGGTCGTAGTCTGCGTCATTTTAATTAATTTGACAAACCGGATGTACAATCTTGTGTAAACTCAGCACCGCCCCTCTTTTGATCTTGTCCAATCAGCAGGCCGATGTGAGGAGGTCACAGGTTACGTCGTTCTTGCCGCAAAGGCTGTCGGGAATTTGAGTCATTGACAGTATATATATATAACACACACACACATATATAATATATATATATGTGTGTGTTTATATATTCTTAACATGAGAGTTAAATCATAAATCTGTCATATGAATCTGAAAGGTCTCAGAGGAATCTGATTTAACTACTTCAACAATCAATGTATTGGTTATTTTGTACTTTGCAGATAATGTCAACATAAAGAAGGAGACACAAATGCAAAAAAAACAACTGATATTCATCAATTTTATTTATCTTAACAAAACAATATTAATTATAAAACATCCAAAACAGCTTAAATCAACCGTCAGCTGGCCTTCCAGTACTGTAATAATAAAAATATTCCTCTCTGTTACCCGTCAGATTATCTATCTGTCTTCACTGAAAATAACTCTTCACAAGAGGATTCCCCTCTCTCGTCATTAAACACTCTCATTACATATCAAGGCTATAAAGAGATACTATGTAATCGGGGCTATAACCTTTGTAACTATGTACATCCTCAGTTATTGTCATAGTATCCTGTAAACAGATCAGTATTGCAGAATCAAACACCACAAGGCGGCAGCATTGTGTTAATAGTGTACAATAACTGTGTGGATATTAGGGTTTTTATTAAACTGCATCTGAAGAGCTCATGGTTAAAGTTAGTAGTTAGACCCTTTAATGTTGATCCCCCCCAACATGCCCTAACAGAGAGTCAACTCATGGTGCAAAGCCCTTCGGTCTGATCATCATCCGGACTCTTTTAAAAGACTGTCTGTCATTTGTGGGGTAATACTCTGTGGATATGTTATGCCACGTCCCCCAGTAAATCCCATCCCGGACCCCTTTGTACTTCCCCACATAGTATCTCCCGTTGAGGTTTGCAGCCATGCAGGCATCAAACCACCAGCCGGAGCTGTAGTAGGCCCCGCAGTTCCCGGACGGGTAGCGGTCGTGGTCCCGGTCCGGGGTGGTGAACGCCCTGTTGTTGTGGTCGTAAGTTTTGCTGAAGCGCAGAGCATCACCTGCAGTACCCGAGTACCCGCCTACTGTCAGCCTGTAGCGCATGCGTTCACTCGCCACCCTGAACTGCTCGTACTCTGCGTACTCCATCACCCCGTCAAAGTCCTCCAGCTCCACCCGCAGCACGACGTCCCGGTCCCGGGTCAGCAGGTGGATCATATTGTTGCCCAGCCAGAACTCCCCTCCGTCCAGCTCCCCGAAGCCGGATCGGTACTCAGCCCAGGTGCGGTTGAAGCTCACGCTGCCGTCCTGCCGGCGCTGCAGGAGCGTCCATCCTCCTCCGTCCAGCTCCATGTCACAGAAGACCTGGAGGCTCCTGCTGCGGAGGTCAGGGGTCACCGTGTACACTCCGCTCTTTGTCTCCCCTCTGAGCAGCAGGTCGGAGCAGTCTCTCCTCGCCATGGTGACTGCAGGAGAGGAAAACGTCAAAACATGCCCCATCATTTAGAGCAGAGCTGCACAAAGTTACTGTAAGGTTAGAGTTGGCTTTCTAGAATTTTACTTTTGAATAATTAACCCATAAGGACCCACAGTGACACAGTCCTTTACATTTTCTGAAAAGAAATGTGGTTAATTAATCTGCTTTATGTCCCCCATAATTTTCCTTGAAGGAGAAATGAGTCCGGGTTCTTATGGGTTAGGAAAAAAAGTTTATTATAATTGTCTGTTCTTATATTTGTGAGGAAGAAATGCTCTTTTAAATATGAAGGATTCTGAATTCTGAATTATTTTTCATAATGTGAGCACAGGAAACACTTTGTGTAGCCAGTGAGTCAATTAAGGGAACTTGGGGATGATACTATTTTGCGTCCTAACAATACATACAATAGATATTTGCTTTTGGCCCATAGACCACCATTAAGTTTCAGTTTTCGCCCTCCAAATTAGATAAATTGGGTTAGAGAGATTTAACTAAAAAACTCTGCTTTTGCTCTCATATGTTGCAGGTGAAATTATCATCTTGCAGCTGTGATTTAGCCGTGAAATACGGTCACAAGTGCAAGAGGTCTGTGTAAAACTTCTTTTCCACCATAAAAGATTTAGTGCTTTTTTGAAGCCTTTCAAGGTGGACCTCCACAGTAGACACATATATAGCTTTTCAAACCAAACCTGGAGTCAAAAATAAAAGTATAAATGTATAACTAAGCCTAAGTTTTCAGTCATACAGTGACTTTATTGCTAAATAAAAGACAAATATACAATATAAACCTATGAACAAATGGAAAAATTCTGTGGACACTTAATTAATATGTAGTGTTTGAACACAATTAATAAACTGAGATTGATTATTTGCGTACTGTAAGTCACTCTCCTCTGACGTGTGTTTTTAAGCTACACATAGTTGTGGTTTCATCTTTAATCATGCAGACACACACATTTTGCACATGTATGCAGAGTCCTCCGTTAGCCATGATGTATGGTGCAAAGATGATCTCAGACCACATAATTATATATATATATATATATTTTAAAATATGAGAATCATTAGAGCTTACCGTGTGGTCCTGTTACCTAAAATCCTTTCAGCTCAGGTCATACCAATTATAAGCACTCAAATACTAATGTGCAACAGTTCCTCAACAGGATTCTCTCAGCTTGATAACTGTGATGTAATGTCAGCAGAAGACAATAGATTCTTAACTAGGTTGGTTGTTGCACATGCCTCCTATCTCTCCCTCTAAAACTTAGTTTGTATCACTCTTTGTGCTGTGAGTTTTAATGTATTTTTATGTATGTATTTTGTGTTGTTTGCTGTTATACATGCTAATATAATTATATAAATATAGATATATATATCCACTTATTCAGTCATCCTCTTCTGAATCCCCTCTGATGAGCATCATTCAGGTCTCCGAGTACTTTTCCTGAGTGGATGCAGTATTGGAATAAGGAATACTTCACTCAAAATGTATAATTATATAGTTGTCAAACTAGTATTAAGTGCAAAATCTGCACCTTTTATGTGGCTAATGTTAATTTCATAATGATACTTAAAGCCTGAAGTCAAGCAGCAAATGTTAATGGACAAATGCTACTTACTGGCCCATATTAACCTAATATGCAAGAGTTTATGAAACAGGGCGTTCGTCCTTTGCTGGATCTCTGCATAACATTGTCTACTTTATGTGTGAATTCATGGTTAAACATGCATACAAAGACACAGTTTGTGTTAAAAGTAATATCTCTTGCCTTTAGGTGGTATCTGTGTTGGCAGTGTGTTTGTCTTGTCAGGCCTGCTGCCTCCATGCTTGTCCTCTGGGTGCTCTTTGGGACGCCTGTCCAGTGGACTTCCATTTGGACTCAGGCTGTTATTGAAGAAGGCAGCCACCTGGTTGATTTTCACCCGTAGCTCACGTGCACTGGGAGTGGAGGCTTCTGCGTCCAGGGGCCCGGGGCCAGAGGTGGCAGGGCCTGTTGACCTGAGTTCAGGGCTGGTTGTGGAGGTAGTTTGGGCAGTGGGGGAAGGGACTGGAAACATCATGTCATCTGGTTTTGGAGTTTCTTTTGGTGCTGCTTCCTCCACATTGTGAAGTATCTTAGCTTGTAACCTGGAGTCAGTATTAGAAGCTTGTTTTGGCTTTGTGGATCCTGGACTGGTGCTAGGGATAACACTCGGGAGAATCCCACGCATGATTTTGTTTGGTGTTGTTGTCATTGGGATCGATGGTGGTTGACCAGCTGTTTGTGGCCTCAGATCAGACGTAACCCTGCTGTGTGGGCTCGTCGTGAAGCCTTCAGAGAGAGTATGAAGGCGAGGGAAGGGCCCAGTCTCCTGGCTGCTGGAGGTCTTTGGACCCAGAGTGATAGTTTTCATCTTACTGGGACTTACCTCCGTGTGCTCGGGAGACTGAGTCACATCAGAAATCGGTTTTACAGGACCAGACGCAGGTGGCATGTCAGTTTGAGACTTCTGGATATCGTCTGACGTAGTCCTGCTGATCTGAGGAGGATCTAAATCTGTTTTGGCCTTTGGACTTGGCTTTAGTTGCAGTGGTGGTTTTGGCATTTGAACAGGTGTTGCTCCTGGCTTGACTGTCGGTCTGGTTGGTGGCCTGTGTCTGGGGGGAGGCTTCGATCTGGATGTTTTGTTAGATTCTGCTTCAGGGATTTCATCCGGCACAGATTTGGGGTTAAGATTAGGTATTTGCTCAGGCCGAGGTGTTTTAAACCCTTGATTGGTTCTTGGTGTTTGTTCAGGTTTAGGCTTTACATTTGGTTTAGTTTTTGGGCTTGTTGTGAGCTCTGGATGTTTTTGGTTTGGTTTAGGTGCTTGGCCGGGTTTAGGCTTTTGGTTTATTTTGGGTATTTTCTGGTTTGGCTTTAGATCAGGAGGTTTGATCGGGGCACGATCAGGTGTAAGCCTTTGTCCAGGTGTTGAGTCTTGGGCGGTTTTAGGCACCGGCAAAAGATTTCTATCTGAATTTTCTTGTAATTCTGTCACAGGCATTTCGTTTGGTGGTTTTGGCGTAAGACTAGTTGTTTCACTTCGTTCAGGTTCAGGCTCTTGAACAGTTGTGAAATACTGATCAGGTTTAGTGTTTTCCTCATTTTTTGGCTTTTTGTGAGGTTTTTGCTTTTGGTCAGGCTTGTCGGTTTTCAGGGGATTAACCGGCTTTTTCTCAGGTTTTGGGTTTTGATTAATATTTGGCTTTCCAGCAGATTCAGGCTCTTTCTCTGTCTCTTTGCCAGAACCAGTGGTGTTTACAGTTTGAGGTCGTTGTTGAGATGTAGGTCTCTGGACTGGAAGCACAGGCTTTTCATGAGATCTTGGCTTTTGAATAGGTAACTGGTTTTCATCAGTTCTACGTTCTTGATCACGTTTAGGTATTTTAGTGTTTTCAAGAGTTTGATCAGTTGGTAAATTGTCAGGTGGAGATCTTTGATCAGGTTTTGGATTTTGGACTCGTTTCGGGTCTTTGCCAGGTTTAGATTTCTGGTCAGTTGTAGGTGTTTGGGGGGAAGGCTTCTGCTTTTGGTCTTGTTTTGTTTTTATGTCAGGCAAAGAAGCTCGATCAGGTTTGCGGTCATTCTTAGGATTCTTAAGCTTTTGGCCTGCTTCAGGCTTAATTTCAGGTTTATGCTTTTCACCTGGCTTTGGTTCTCGGCCTGGTAGAGGTTTTTTTACGCCAGTCTTAGTGCTTGAGCTGATGTTCTTTTTAGCTGTCCAACGGCTGCGGTTTGCAACTCCTGGAAATGTAGTTGTGTATAAATTCAGATGAGGAGTTGTGGTGGTTGTCGTTGCCGTAGTTGAGCTACCTCTACCCTGGAAGCCTGCCCCAGGTCTTGTTGGAGAGGTGGACCCAATAGCACCACTGGTTATCTGCTGTCCTGGCCCACCCAGTGTGCTTACTGTAGCTATTGTTGTTGGCCTACTTGTGGTCCTAAAGCCTGCTTCCGCCTCAGGGCTTGAGTGCTCAGAAAGGCCTGTGCTTTGGGTTGGTAGTCCGTCAGCATTTATTGCCATCCCTTGATTGACAACTGTGTTCAAATGTGAAGTGGAGCTGGATAAAGGAGGAGGTGGAAGAGATGACGTAAGGGTTATAGCTTCGTTTGAGTCCATGGAGTCATGCCTCGGAGCTGAACTAATGGTAGAGTGTGGAGTCTGGCTGATTGAAACAAAGTCTGTTCTCTCAGTTGCTTTGCTGGATGCTAATTCTCCATCACTGTCTCGCTGCACACTCTGGACCATTTTTTCTCCTTCTGTTTTGATCTCCTTTCCTGTCTCCCTGTCCTCCACCTCCCCCTCTTTTATAGTCTTCTCTTTTTCTGTGCGCCCGGTTCTTTCAGTCTGTTTTGGTTTCTCATTATTTAGCTCCACTTTTATTCCCTTTTCCATTTCCTCTTTCCTCTCCTCCCCGTGCTGCTCTTGCTCCTTATTTGTATGCTCATCATGGTCCTCAGACATCTTTATTCCATCACTGGCCCTGTCTTCTTCAGTTCGGGTCTTTTTCTCTGTTTCCTTTGTTTCATCTCGCCATACGGGACGGTCGCTTTCTACTGTTTTCTCCTTATTTTTTGTATTAGTTGTAATCTTCCTCCCTTTTCCATTCTCTAACTTATCACCTCGATCTCCCTTTGAATTCCCTTTTCCATCTTTTTCCTTATTTCTATCAGTCTCTCTCTCTCTGTTATTTTTTTCAACAACCTTTTTTCTGTCCATATCTATTATTTTGTCATTTTCACCAGCAGTTGGCACCTTTTCCTGTCCAAATTTGTTCTTTCCTTTTGCCCCCTCTGTCTGAGTTTTTCCATCTTTTCCTGCCACTTCTCTTTCGGTTTCTTCATTCTCATTTTCTTTTACGACCCCTTTATCGCTCTCCCTTTCTGCTTCCCATTTCTTTCTCCCTTTCTCTTCCAAACTTGTTCTTTTTTCAGACTCAGTGTCACCATCTCCTTCCATAGTATTTTCTGCTTTAACCCTGTCTGTCCCACACTCCTGGCTAAAATCTTTTAGTCTCTCAGCATATTTCACATTCAGCAAGTCCCTCTCATCCTCATATCTATCCGTACCCTCATTCAGCTTTTCATGCTCTCTTTCTCTTTGCCTCCCACACTCTCTCTCAGTTTGGCTTACTGTACAATCTGCACACATCTTCCTCAGTTGATCCACATTGTCCTTCAGCTTCTGCAGATCCTTTACGATCTTCTCCAGCTCTCTGAGCTGCTTTGGCAAATGGACAGTCAGTGGCGGCAGACTGAATAGGTAGGGGCACATGCTCTCATCCTGCCCCTGTCTGCACAGCCCCTCAGGTCTCAGAGTTGCAGCGCAAGGCCCAAATCCATTATCCCCCAGGAGGTCTCCTTCATCAGAGTCCGCTGTGGTCCAAGAGAGGCTCAAGAAAGCCAGCAGGGTCCCACATACGCACAGTGCTGTTAACCTCATCACGTCCTGATAGTAAAGAGTAAAAGGAGAGGCGGGAGAGAGTGTTAAAAAGACCTACCTCAGTTTGAGAAGCGCAGTGACAGTGAGAGGAGGAGGTAAGGTGGGAGGGAGAAGAGGAGGGAGGGGGAACTGATGGAGCTGTTCGGTGGAAAGTGAATCTCTGAGAGAAATGAGGAGCGAGGAGCTTTGAGAAGGAAACAGGTGAAAAAAATAGAGAGAGGGAGAAGAGGAATGTGTGGATGTACTTCTCAGTAGATGGTCTCCGTGAGATAGTGGATGATAAGCATGAAGCGTGAGGAAATGGTAAAATATTTTTACTTTATAACATAAGCAGAATTAACCGTAACAGTTCAAAATCCGTCATGAAAAAGCACAAACTGTGAAAGCTTTAGAAAGCATGTGTTTTATTGTAATCCTATTATTACATTCCAGTGTATCTCATTGTAATCACATCACTTAATGAAGACCATTTGTAATGCATTCTCACTCCATGCTGTAGAATCATGGCCTTGCATATGCATGTGTGTCACAGTTGCTTTGGCAGGCGCTTCCCGAGCTTCCTGTTAGTGGATCCACAAACATGTGAGTGACAGATGCGACAGGTCAAAATATGCATTTGAAGCAAAATATTGGCCGCTGGGCCTGAGCCAAGAGTTTGTTACTCAGATTTGTAAGGACGTATTTCATTTTACTGTAAGCTGTGTGGTTTAGTCCAGCTTCTGAGTAATGAAAGTTAGGAATGTCAGATTTATCCAAGAGGGCCGCTTGATTCACATGCAATGCCAGGGGAGAGACATTTCTCATGTGCTATTGACTTTATTCGGACAGTACTAATCCTCAACAAGTGTCGAGAATTGGTGAGGCAATCTCAGGGTGGAGACGCTAAGCTCACTGTGTGCAAACTGTCTCTCCATGTAAGACTTTGGTGCTGTGCTAATTCATTGTGTCTACATATAGTCAGAAAAAAAGAAAGAGAGAAAACACAGTCACATGAACTAAATGAGGCATCTGCTTGGCAGGGAGTTTAGATAATGAGGGTTTAGTTTCTCGGGGTGTAAATGTCAGTCCCACCACAGGATATGAGATATGAGTGATAGCATGCAATGCCAGCGTTTGATGTTTTTTAGAAATTTGTCAGTTTTTAATGCTTGATAGGCCACTTAAATTGTCTTGTTTTAAGACTGCGATGAAACGTGACCCTTTCGTTCTGTCTCTTGGACTGGCCAGTTGCTCGAGGCTGGAGAGATTTCTCAGCTGTCCGTTAATAATGACAAAGGAAACCATTTGTTTAGCAAGAGGACTGTGGGAAGCATCAGGTTAGAAATGAAAAATGAGATAAGGAGGAAGAAAATGACTCAGTGAAGAACAGCAGTGGTTAGAGAAACAGCACTTTGTAAAAGCAACCTCAAATGCTACAGTTTGCAGGTCTTGTAATCCTTGCATATAAAGGTGGTAACTATCTATCCAAACTTCTGTATGACTTTACATTGCAACTCGGGCCCTTCGTCCTCCTTCTGTGCTAACGCAGCTATGAGCTTATTTGCCATTTGACAACTGTTGGCCGGATAAAAGCCAGGAATAAGTATCCTTTCACCTTTCACAGTCACTTCAATACTTCAACACTTACACAGGGAAATAGTGTGAGAGAAATGTTTACACTCTCGAGAGACTTCTGTCAGAACACTAGGCCGTTTCGATTTATTATCAAAGAGCCACATCTTTAACAGCACGGCCAAGCATAAATCTCAGACAGTCGCAGCTTAGCCACAACAAACTAACCTGATGCAGCGGCTGCATGAGGGATGATAATGATTAATGCAGTTGATTAAGGTTAAAAGGGTCAATTCATCTGATAGTAGCCAACCTAAATGAATCCATTTTGTCTTCTACAGCAGCAGAGCACAGCCAGGAACGCTATTATTCCAAATAATACCCTCACTCCTGGCTTTACCCATTTATGGACAGCAGTTTTTTTTCTCCTCAGGGTGCCCTCTTGGGATACAGTGTTTTGAATTCCCCCAGTGAGCTGGCTTGGCCCACTCTCTGTCCTGGATTGTGTAAACACTGTGGTTTTTTCCATTCAGACTAGAACAAACATCTGACCATCAGTCCAGCTTTGCTGCCTGGGCTTCCTGGCAGACCACTTCATCTCCCTCCACTTTGGGCAGAGGAGCCAATGTCGTCGGTCATGTCTGTTATGTGCATAAGTGTCCCATTTCCAGCTGAACTGGAGTAAACCCAGAGACTGTCGTAGCGCAGCGCCAGCCTCTTGTAATACCACACTCAAGCTGCCTGCCTGAAGGTATAAACCTACCTGGACAATATTATTGTACGGCCTCACTGTTTGCATGGCAGGAACAAATAAACATGTTCATTCAGAAAAACAGTTATATGATACAACACCTGCCTGATCAGTGTGTATCAGTTTAAAATTAAAAAGTATTTTGTCTCTTTCTTCCTCTGTCTCGCACACACATATTCATATTGATATGAATCGTCCATTGCCAAGTCCTTAATTCTTCAGTAACCGATACATTCCTTCGCCATGTGTAAGAAGGTTTTTCAACTGTCAATTGACTGATAGGGATTCTTGAAAATGAAACAACCAAGTGTCCCTCACATCTGGATTTCCTACAGCTAGCCAACACCAGATAACGTCAGGTCAATTTGTTTCTGATCCAAAAGCCTGGACTTCATTAAGACTTTGTTTGAAATTTATATTTAAGAATCCTTGTCCTGATGAAGGATAGGGATAGCGAGTGTAACGTGGGAACAGGTTATCTGCTGCTGTCCCCTTCTGCCCAGCGGGAGTGGACTCTGAGGTGAAAGTGGACATTCTTTAGACCCTGAAAATGCACGAGAAATAAGTGGGTATTTTTCCATGACAGGAGAGAATATTTTACAGTTTTAAAGTATGTTTTATAGCAGTAAACCTTCTATAAAGACACTTATTTCCCAGCTGTGGTTAATAGAAACCATGTGGATGGACTAGATGTGAATGCACAGAAGGGTGTGACTGAGGGCATCACAAAAACACAAGTTTGTTGACCTTTTCCCTTCTCTCTACCAATTTGTAGGACACGTTCGTCTGGTAAAAGTAATTACACTGAAGGTCAGTGGTGGAGGAAGTATTCAGCTACTAACAATAACACACTGCACAAATACTCAATTTCAAGTAAAAGTCCTGGATTGAAAATTATAGTATAGTATAACTACATAAGTATTATTAACAAAATGTACTAAAGTAAAAATACCGAAGCAGAAAATTGCCCTCTGTGATTGTTATGTCATTAAATATCATAGTATTAGATTATTTTTACTCAAGCATTATGTGTAAGCAGCATTTTGCTATTACAGCTGGATGAGATGGAGCTTGTCTTAATGATTTTATCAATAAATCAATCAGTTATTCACTACTTTATTAGCAACTTTCATACAATTTAATACAGTTCAAAGTGTTTCACAGATGACCGACAAAGCCGATTATAAGACAGAATGGAATAAAAACTAAAGATACATTTAAAAATAAAATAGATATATATATAGAGAGATAAAAATTACCATAAACTACTTTTAACAAGTACAACAATAATGTTTAATAAACGTTATAATAGAAACTAGATACAACAGATTAAGAAAGCAAGCAAAAATAAATAATAATATTAATATTTAATGCTTTGTATGTAAAATCTTAATCTGCAGAGTCGCCATAGCTGTCAAATAAATACAAAGCAGAATATTTGTATCTGAATTGTTGTAGAGCTGAAGTATAAAGTGGCCTAAAATGGAAATACAAATACCTCTAATATGTACTTGACTACAAACTTTCCACGACTGCTTAAGGTGCTATAAAGGATTAATCTCTCCGCACCGCCTCTTGTTATTGGAACCAAAAATAACCTTTATTTTATTATCCTGCAAACTGTGTCTTCTTCCCTATGGTAACCGTTTAAGTGTCGGTGCTGAGTGTAACATTCACCCAATGAACAATTTGGGTCAAAAGAAATAAACAAATCTCATTTTAGAGTAAGCCAATGTCAGCGCTGATGAACAATGTGTACACTACCTTTCCAATCTTCCTGGCAGATTAAGGCTTCTTCTTTAGTGGCTGCAGATACAGACGAGAGAAGCATATAAAATGGATGTGGACTGGAGGGGAGAGGAACCATTTGACACAGCAGTTGAGAGAAATGTAACTTTTCCACATCTCTGCAGGATTTGTTTCTGTTTTCTGTCATAACAAATTGATATTTTTCATCCAATATTAGCGTGTTATGAAAGAAAGCATTTAGGCATTGGGTTGAAATTTTAATCACATAATGTTGACAATAAATGAATAATAGTACTTAGATCTTGGATGCAATAAAAGTAGTGACCAATCAAGTCTTGTTGTGCAATAGAGATATAAGCAAGCAAACCTCCAAACATTTGTACTTGTGCTGTTTTTTCCAGAAGACACAGCTGTGAGGGATCAGTGGATGTGATGGGAGGGAAAAAATAAAATAAAAAGTCCCTCAATGTATTTTAATAACAATACTGCCACCTAGTGACATTTTAAAGAAATATCTCGGAAGACAAACTAATTATGTACATTTGTAATTAATAAACTGAAGACTTTAAAAGGTCCAGTGTGTATAATATTCACAGGTATGTTTTCATTAGTGTTTAATCACCTGAAAATAAGAATCATGTTTTTATTACCTTAGAATATTTCTACAGTAGCCCAGAACAAACAAACCAAACACTGGCTCTAGATAGGGCCTTTTGTATTTTTCACCATCATTTCTCCTAGAGATCTCTGCTAGATACCGATCAACCCAACACACCGGTCCTTTAATGTATATGCAGTATATCGTTTTGTCACACTGTGCAGAAATCTTACTAGTTTTTGATGAAAATAATACACAACCAACACTTTATGCATAATGTACCTGCTATTTCTGGTAAGACGTACCATACAGCTGCAAATTAGATAACAAATAAAAACTTTCCTGGTGCAT